TTAAGTTTTCTTGGAAAATCATTCCCAAAGCCAGAATTTTCCAGAAAATTATGGCTTTGGGAACAATTTTTTGAGGGGCACATTTTCTGGAAAATACCACGAAAATTTTCCTGGTACCCGTAAAATTTCGGGAAAGGGGAAGTTTTTCCGGGTTTCAGAGATAATGTAATGCACAATTTGTTGAACTGTCAAGAATATTTTTGTTACTCGGAAAATTTCAGGGATGGGGATTTTTTTTTCCCCAGCTTTGAGAGTCGTCTTGTTACACGGAAATCTCTCATTCCCGGAAGTGTTCTGCACCAATTGTTCAAGCTAATGAAGATATCACTTTACTAGTCATTCAGGCAGTTGGTCTGTTCTTTGTTGGTACTTACTTTGTTATGACATTGTTCAGTGTTAGTACTGGAGAAAACCTGCCATGTTTGGTAGTGTCACACTGGATAACACCCTTCCCACATACTGTATGTCAGAGGTCAGGACTCAAACACAGGACACAGTGGGTGAGAGATATGTGTGTTATCACTGTAGGTAATTGAGTTTTGTTCAGTGGATGAAATAGTAGTCTAAAGCCTTTGATTGAAATGATTTAAACTTATAATTAAAATGACTTAATCTCAGGAGTAAAATGACTTAGCCCCAGAATTAAGACATTTATTTACTGAAAGGAATAAATTATTATATTCAAGAGGATAAGTTAGCATTAAGGGTTTTAAATCATCTTACTCAAGGGGTTAAATCATCATACTCAAGATGTGAAGTTATCATACTCAGGGATTAAATCATTATAATGTCAAGGCTTTACTCTAGTGGTCAGCATCATACTGAAGGGTCATACTTGCATCAACACAAAATAAGTAAGCATAATAACATACTTAAGTACAGTATATTATGCGTTTTATTTTAGCTATGGACTGTAGTATCCCTGAAGAGGCTGAACGAGGGTCCCTTTTGTAGAGAAAGGAGGGGTGAAAGAAGATTAGAGGTGGGGGAAGGAAGTTATAGTGCGGAAATTGAAGAAGTTTAGGAGGAGGTAAGAGAGAGCAGGCTGACCGCCTAGCTCAGCTAATAGTGTGTTAAGGTTGTGTCATGGGTTAGTTATTGTCTGTCGGTACAGGCACTAGACATCCTACGAGGGTCCCTTATGCTGTTGGGTGGGAGGGTTGGGTGGGTGGATGGTAGGGAGAGTTGGGTGGGTTGGTGGGAGGGAGGGCTGGGTGGGATGCACTGTCGGGTGGTAGGAAGGGTGTATGGGTGGGAGGGAAGGTGTATTCATGGAAGTGAGTGTGTGTGTGTGGATGGGAAGAAGTCCTATTCACATACCCTTCCACCCATCCACACACCCTTCCTCCCATCAACACACACTTCCTTCCATCCACACACCCTTCCTCCCATCCACACATTCTTCCTCCCATCCACACAACCTTCCTCCCATCCACACACCCTTCCTCCCATCCACACACCCTTCCTCCCATCCACACACCCTTCCTCCCATCCACACACCCTTCCACCCATCCACACACCCTTCCACCCATCCACACACCCTTCCACCCATCCACACACCCTTCCACCCATCCACACACACTTCTTCCCATCCATTCACACATTCTTCCTTCCATCCACACACTCCTCCCATCCACACACCCTTCCTCCCATCCACCACCCCTTCCTCCCATCCCCACACCTTCCACCTATCCACATCCACACACACTTCCTCCCATTCACACATTCATCCACACCCTTCCTCCCATACCACCCACCCACCCAACCTCCCATCCACACACCATTCCCCATCCACACACCCTTCCTCCCATCTGATTCTGTCCCTCCCACCAGGACACTCCCCCATGAACATTGTCTACCCACCTCCCATCCCACCACCCATTCCTCCCATCACACCATTTCCTCCCATCCACACCCAACCTCTTCCTCTCCATTCATTCACACACCCTGAAGGTCTTTTTAAATCTTTCAGATTGTGTGGCTGTCTGAGGTGGATGGCTGGCTGGCTCAAGTATATGGTTGACTGGTTGAGGTGAACATCTGGCAGGACAAGAACCCCACCAAACAGGTAAAGTACTTGTGACAATATGTAATGTCTTTATGTAAGGTACTTATGAGTACTTATGAACATTGTCTAAAACTCTTTGTATTCCAGGTGTGTGGCTGACTGTGGACCCACAACAAGGTGCTGCCTGGAGGTGAGTGAGGGGAAGGGGGTGTGGGTGGGTGGGAGGGGAGGTGGGGTGGGGTGGCAGGGTGGATGGAGTGAGTATGGACTGGTCCATGAAGGTCGGGCATCTGGCAGGACAAGAACCCCACCAAACAGGTAAAGTACTTGTGACAATATGTAAGGTACTTATGAGTACTTATGAACATTGTCTAAAACTCTTTGTATTCCAGGTGTGTGGCTGACTGTGGACCCACAACAAGGTGCTGCCTGGAGGTGAGTGAGGGGAAGGGGTGTGGGTGGGTGGGAGGGGAGGTGGGGTGGAGGGGGAGGGGGATGGTGGGGAGGGGTGGGTGGGAGGGGAGGGGTGGGTGGAGGGGATGGGGGATGGGTGGGTGGGAGGAGGGGTGGGGTGGACTGGTGGGTGGGAAGGGAGGGATGGGGGGAAGGGAGGGATGGGTGGGTGGGAGGGAGGGCAGGGTGGGTAGGTGGGAGGGGATGGGGTGGGTGTGAGGGTTGGATGGGTGGGTGACAGAGTTGGGTGGGTATGATGGAGGGTTAGGTGGGTTGGAGGAAGGTGTCTGCATGGAAGTGAGTGTGTGTGTGGATGGGAGGTCCTCCCATTCATACTCCCTTCCTTCCATCCATACACCCTTCCTCCCAACCACACACCATCCTTCCATCCACACACCTTCCTTCCATCCACACACCCTTCCTCCCATCCACGCACCCAACCTCCCATCCACACACCCTACCTCCCGTCCACACACCCTCCTGTCCATCCACACACCCTTCCTCTCATTCACACACCCTGAAGGTCTTTTTAAATCTTTCAGATTGTGTGGCTGTCTGAGGTGGACGGCTGGCTGGCTCAAGTATATGGTTGACTGGTTGAGTCGAACCTCTGGCAGGACAAGAACCCCACCAAACAGGTAAAGTACTTATGACAATATGTAATGTCTTTATGTAAGGTACTTATGAGTACTTATGAACATTGTCTAAAACTTTTTGTATTCCAGGTGTGTGGCTGACTGTGGACCCACAACAAGGTGCTGAAGGTAGTACAGGTAAGACTTATTTGTGTAATAGTTGTAGTAGTAACAGCACCATAGTTAGAAGTAGATACACAGTAGTAACTCCGCCTTGTTCAACTGAACATGCCGGTCCCCAGCCCGGACAAAGGAGGAGGGCTACTGCAGTGTAGTTAGTAGATACACAGTAGTAACTCCGCCTTGTTCAACTGAACATGCCTGTCCCCAGCCCGGATAAAGGAGGAGGGCTACTGCAGTGTGGTTAGTAGATACACAGTAGTAAATCCGCTTTGTTCAACTGAACATGCCTGTCCCCAGCCCTGATAAAGGAGGGCGGCTACTGCAGTGTTGGATGATCACCACTGAATAAACTCACCATTTTCCCGACCAACTTATTATACAAGGTACAGTAACTTATATTGTATCAAGACCATGTTTACTGTATTTTCTCCAAGACCAGCAATGTAGTATTTTAGCTTTTTATGGATAGTTAGTATTGAAGAAATGAGGTATTTACATGGATACTCACTACCACTTGATATCATGTTTATATTGTAGATGGAAATCTCAAAAAATAAAAAGAATTGTATATTCAAAGTATTTTTTATTTTCATTTGTATTATACATACATACGTTACAGTATGAAATAACCTAGAAATTTGATACAGGATTTACAAAAGTGGGTGGGTAGGAAAGGAGTGAGCAGGTACATGGGTGTGATATTTGCTAGTAGGTTTACACCATTCAACACCCTTCTCACATCTGTCCCAGGCTGGAGTTTGGGCGGAGGACACTGTCGAGAGCTCTACCACTGTACTTTAGTGGGGGCAAGTAGGTGGGTGTGGGGGCAGGTTGGTGGGTGTGATATTTGCTGGGTTTACACCGTTCAACACCCTTCTCACATGTCCCAGGCTGGAGTTTGGGCCCAGGACACAGTTGAGAGAGACTACCACCAACACCCACTAACTTTAGTAGGGGCAAGTAGATGGGAGTGGGGGGGGTAGGTGGGAGTGTGATATTTGCTAGGTTTACACAGTTCAACACCCTTCTCACATCTGTCCCAGGCTGGAGTTTGGGCCGAGGACAAGGTTGAAAGAGCTTACCACTGTACCACCAACACCCACTATACTTTAGGTCAAATTCAAATTATTTCATTTCAAAACCTTACAATTTTAAACATTACAGCTGGATTTCAAGGTCTTCAACTTTACATCTTGTTGCCCAGTTAATTTATAATTTGATCTATAATTAACAAGGATTTCTTTTCTAAATTTTTAGGCAAAACTGACTTCCAACAATGGGTGTGGTGTCCAGATTGTCATCATTCAGTAAGTAAAATACCCACTGTACTTTATGTATGCACACAATCAAAAACTTATCTTTACGGACATGGCCTATGAATTTAAAAATAAAAACCGACACCTGTTGTCTCGGTGAGGTTGTCAAAATCCTTCGCCCGAGGTGTCGTTGTCTAACACCATCATAAAGATGCTTTTTTGAAATGTACATCTTGTAATAGCTACACTAAATTGAGATATTACAATGCCATCTGTAGGTACAGTCCTGTTATCTTTAGTTTTGATTATGCATACCTAATAGGTCATCACATGGGCATTAGTTTGTAACAGTTCTACTTTGGTTGGCACTTGAATGTCAATTAGTGAGAAGTATGCATGGGCTATCATGTTGACATCACATAGGTTCCATGTACAGTTCATGTTACCGTCATGTTTCAAGTTCAGTTTACAAGATTATTATTATTATTATTCTACTTTTCCAAAATTGGAGTATAAAAGAGGTCAAATTTATTCAGTGTTTATTTGATTATGTATAGATATTGTATAATGAGAGCCAACTCATCCTAATCTCAATACAAGTGCCAACCATTACATAATATATTCAACTTTTTCTTAATCTATGTGGCTTGACTCGAGGCTTACTTATACATTCTTAAATATATTACTTTACTGTACTTTAAAAATTTTCTCAATTGTAGAAAAAAGTTCATGCTTAAGGTGGTACTCTTGAAGGTGTGGGCTGGAAGACAGTACAGTTGTGGGAACACCCTGTGGTCATATGGCCGTCTTGGTTTCATTTCTTGTACACCAACCACCTGCAATAAGAATTTGAATTTAGATTAGTCTTAATTAACATTAATGTAGCTCTACCAATACACAACATTTACCCCAAAATTTCTTGCATTCTATAATTACATCCTTCCATTTATCCATACACTCTAGCACCCTCCTGTAACACCTTATACTGATCACCAGCCTTACTGCTCTTATGGCTGCAGCAGTCTTCTCACAGGCATCATCCCCCAACATTCCTTCATAGAATGTTATTTTACTCTGATACTTATAACATTCACTATTAACCATTGTATGAGCACACCACCACCCACGTACGAGCGCCCCTCCACTGCCCAACGTACGAGCGCCCCTCCAATGCCCAACGTACGAGCGCCCCTCCACTGCCCAACTTTCCTTCTTCCCAACCCTTATCACAAAGCAAGTCACTCATTATCATTCTTTGTTTTTTAGGATAGCCATACAAAGACTTCGGTAACTTAACTGGAGAGGCTGAATTAACATGCGTTACATCTTGCTCAAGGTTGGTTCTGTCACTTCCTCTAGGCTGGCCTTCAAGTACATCTGTCACCTGTAATATATTTTGAGTTGTTATTTATATAGAATGAAGGTTAAACATACAATATCCTTCTACCACCTGTACTTAAAGACTCCTACTGTACACAAGTTATCAAATTTTAATAATTTACAAAAGTCAATTTTATCTAACTTGAAAATTATCTTTCTGTATTCATGATCAGTAAAAGTAAGTGGCTCATAAAATAGTTAGAATTAACGTTTTAAATATATTAGATACAAAATATGTTTTTGTATAATAGATAGTTTAGTTCTGATTTGGTTCAGTCTAGGTTAGTTATGTTTAATCTAAGTTAAGATGGTTAAATTAGTCAAGTTAGTTGAAGCCCACCCACAACTTGCTTTACTTGCTATATTTACTACTATACTACTACTAATTTTCTCTGATAACCAATAGGCATATAGTCCTGTATATTTATACTGTCACTACAACTAATATTAAGTTTGCTCTAATAACAGTCACTACAGTCAGTCCACACAGGCCTCCAGAGCCCTCCATCACACACAGACAGTCAGCCAGGCCCCACACACACACACCTCCACTACTCCATGTAGGAGCACAGTGTTGAGTGGTTTTTTGGATGACCATACTAGCTAAGATATACAAGTAACTTAACTGATGAGGCTGAAGTAAAGTGCAGCTTGTTAAATCTTGCTCAAAGTTCTGTCACTTCTCCATTGGCCTTCAAGTACATCAGCTGTCACCTGCAACATGTTTAAAGTAGAATAGACATTAAACATACAATATCCATGTACAATTAGGCCATGTACAGTACATAAGCTGTCCTTAACTGTACACAAATTATAAATCTTTAATAACTTACACAATTCTCAATTTTATCTAAATTCAAAATTAACTTTCACTTCATGATCAGTTAACATAAGTGGATAATAAAATAGTTTAAATTGAAGTTCTTAAAACATTTTTTATCCAATATATTTACTGTATAATAGTTATCTTATTACCGATTTGGTTCAGTCAAGGTTACATTTAATCTAAGTTAGGCTGGTTAAGTTATGTTAGTAAAGTTAGTTGAATAAAAAAAAAACTTGCTTTTCTTACTATATTAACTACTATACTACTATTAATTTTCTCTAGTAACGAATAGGCATGTAGCCCTGTATATTTATATTGTACTATACTGTCAATACAACTAATACTAAGTTTACTCTAATATCAATCTGTCTACAGTCGGTCCTCTCAGTCCGCCACAGCCCTCCAACGCACCCCGTCAGCCAAGCCCCACACACCCTCCACTGCCCAGTGTAGGAGCACAGTGTTGAATGGTTAATGCCTGGGATGACCATACTAGCCAAGATATTTAAGTAACTTAACTGATGAGGCTGAAGTAACATGCTGCTTGTTAAATCTTGCTCAAGGTTCTGTCACTTCTCCATTGGCCTTCACGTACATCAGCTGTCACCTGCAACATGTTTAAAGCTGTAATTTATGTAGAATGAAGGTTAAACATACAATATACATCTACCACTAGAACACATGTACTTAAACTGTGTCCAACCATACACAAGTTATCACTTTCTTAATTTATACAAATCTCAATTTTATCTAACTTCAAAATTAACTTTATGAATTCATGATCAGTTCACATAAGTGACTAATAAAATACACTGAATTTATGTTTTGTTAGGTTAGTAAAGTTAGTTGAAACCCACCCACAACAACTTGCTTTAATAGCTATGTTAACTACTGTACTATTACTAATTTTCTCTAGTATGAATGTAGTCCTGCATATTTATACTGCCAATACAACTAATATTTTACTCTAATATCAGTGTCTACAGTCAGTCCCCACAGCCCCCCTACAGTGTCTACCAGGCCCCATACACAGGACACCAGTTTCCACACACACACACTGATCACCAGGTCCACACAGAGACCTATCAGGCCCCAAACAGTCAGACAGACACACACACACACACACACACACTTCACTGCCCAGTGTAGGAGCAGTGTTGAGTGGTTTATTGGATGACCATACTAGCCAAGATATACTGTTCAAGTAACTTAACTGATGAGGCTGAAGTAACATGCTGCTTGTTAAATCTTGCTCAAGGTTCTGTCACTTCTCCATTGGCCTTCACGTACATCAGCTGTCACCTGCAACATGTTTAAAGCTGTAATTTATGTAGAATGAAGGTTCAACATACAATATACATCTACCACTAGAACACATGTACTTAAACCGTGTCCAACCATACACAAGTTATCACTTTACAATAATTTACACGTCTCAATTTTATCTAACTTCAAAATTAACTTTCTGAATTCATGATCAGTTATCGTAAGTGACTGATAAAATTCACCTAATTTATGTTTTGGAATAGCTTATGATAGGTTAGGTTAGGTTAGGTTATGGTTAGTAAAGTTAGTTGAAACCCACCCACAACAACTTGCTTTAATAGCTATGTTAACTACTCTACTATTACTAATTTTCTCTAGTATGAATGTAGTCCTGCATATTTATACTGCCAATACAACTAATATTTTACTCTAATATCAGTGTCTACAGTCAGTCCCCACAGCCCCCCTACAGTGTCTACCAGGCCCCATACACAGGACACCAGTTTCCACACACACACACTGATCACTAGGTCCACACACAGACCTATCAGGCCCCAAACAGTCAGACACACACACACTTCACTGCCCAGTGTTGGAGCAGTGTTGAGTGGTTTATTGGATGACCATACTAGCCAAGATATACTGTTCAAGTAACTTAACTGATGAGGCTGAAGTAACATGCTGCTTGTTAAATCTTGCTCAAGGTTCTGTCACTTCTCCATTGGCCTTCACGTACATCAGCTGTCACCTGCAACATGTTTAAAGTTGTAATTTATGTAATGAAAATTAAACTTGCAACTTCCATCTACCACTAGACCACATGTACTTAACTGTCCCCCAACTGTTTACATAAATCATTACCTCAACATTAGTTTACTCAAATTACTTCCCACCAACACAGTACTGCTACACTATACTGTACTGTACTGTACTACACATCTCCACTGCTTCATGTACTATACACAAGGTTTACTACAGCTCATAGTACCCTCCCTCATGCCTCTAGGTGTCCCCTCGACAGCTTGGTTACACTTGGTTTGAATGACAAACTTCACCACAACCACCTGCCCACCTCGTGTACAATTCCTTCCTATGGAACACAAACCTATCCCATACACCACCACAGTTCCCCCATCCAGTATACAACACCCCACACCGTCTCGCAAAACGTTAAATGACCCCACAACAAGCCACACCCACCTACACACTCAAAACGTTATACGAACCACACCCACCCACCCCTCACAAAACATTAAACGACACCACAGGAAGCCACACCCCCTCACAAAACACTAAACGACACCACAGGAAGCCACACCCCCTCACAAAACATCAAACGACACCACAGGAAGCCACACCCTCACAAAACATCAAATGACACCACACGAAGCCACATCCCCACACTAAACACTAAACGACACCACAGGAAGCCACACCCCCTCACTTTTACTTTACTTTTATCCTCTTCACCAAAAGGTCGGCTCGCTAGCCGCCCGGGCGATCGGTCACGTCTCTGTCACGCACTGTTGGCAAATACTGGGCATGCACCGGCTCCTGAATGTACCTGAACCCGCTCCAGTGTTGGTCAAGTCTTCTCTTGAAAGAGCTCACACTCGGTACCGTCACAACTCTCTGGTAGATTGTTCCAGGTTTACAACCTCACTCCAAAAAGTTTGCCCTCACGGTTTTCTGGACTTGCGGCTTCTTCAATCTTGAGCTGTGACTGCTGGGGCGAGCGTCCGCCAGCTCAAGTAAGGACACTCAACTGAGTAGTGCCCCCTGAGATGCTTACCCTCAACTAGGTCCCCCTTGCCCGTCTGTAGTATAAGCTAGGCAAGTTCAGGCGCTCAATCTCTCAGGGTAGCTGAGGTGCCGAAAGCCACACCCCTCACAACATTAAAACAGACACCACAGGAAGCCACACCCTCACAAAACATCAAACGACACCACAGGAAGCCACACCCTCGCAAACATTAAACGACACCCAGGAAGCCACACCCCTCATAACATTAAACGACACCACAGGAAGCCACACTCTCCACAAAACATCAAACGACACCACAGGAAGCCACACCTCCTCACAAAACATCAAACGACACCACAGGAAGCCACACCCACCCACACAAGGAGTTATAATTGACCTCAAGGAATACTGTTGTGTAGTGCGATAAGCTTCACTTCTCCCTCGTGTCTGTTGTCCCTTACTGACCACACCAATAAAAGGGATCTGTGGTCATTCCTGAGCTGAAAAAGATTCACCAGCACATTGTAATACGTAGATTGGCTCAGGTTAAATTGATCTTCAGCTGAAATAAGCTGGGGATGAATCTTCAGGTGAGCCAAACATTTTAACATTCTCCAGAGGTTAATTAGATGGTTCCTGCCTTATTTCCAATACATTTTAACGGTGTCTTTATATACATGTTAACATTTTAGGAACCCGGTAATTTTTTTTTTTACAAGTAGACAACCAACGAACCTTTAGGGTACGTTACGTTGCTCCCTGCCCTGCCCTGCCCTGCCCTGCCCTGCCCCGCCCCGCCCGCCCTGCCCCTCTGCCCTGCCCTGCCCCGCCCGCCTCCCAGAAATCGTAGTTAAGAATAACAAAATAAATAAGTAAAAAATACTACATAGCAATTCCGAAAAAAATAGTTATATTTTTGTTAAGCCTAGTCACTACGGCGCAGTTTTTAATGCTGAATACAGTGGTGGTGATGAACGTTTGGGGAAATGCGTAATTATTGAGGTATGACCAACCGGCTCCGCCAATAGTGGGTTGGGCATCGAAGTAAGAGAGAAAATATTAAATTAAAAATAAATACAGTAATCTAACCCATCTGGTCATTGTACTCGCTTACTGGTTAATTATTACGTACTGATGTACCGTTTACGCTCGTTAACCGCCACCGGCTTATAGTTTAGGCTCGTTTGTCATGGCTCGTTTGGCGGTACATTTGCCTAAAACGTTAAGTACTTGTTAGACGTTAGAGAAACACTTAATATAATACTAAACCATATTAATGTATTTGTTTAGCTGCAAAGTAGGTACCATAGGCCTTGCAGCCCAGTGAAACTTGGAGATACGACCTAGAAGGCAAGTGAATTACAACAACCGGCTGGCATTTTTACTTAAATAGATATTTATTACGCCACAATTAAGAATATTAAACCTACCCAAATGAATAACCTTTTCTCTTTCCCATTTTGACTGTAGACAGTCGGGGAAATTATACGCGTATATAATAGAGACCAGAGGAGGCGGGGTGTGGGGCTTACCTGCCTGTCAGCTGCAACCACTCCAGCCAGTGAGTGGTCGGTGAAGAATGGGCCGAGATGACTAGTCGAGACCTTATATATGAAGGTTGAGTGACGTCACGAAGCTTCATTGAATCATTGATGCTTCATTGAAGCATTTGAAGCTTCGAACATGAATATACGTTAAAATACGTAAAATGTCAAATTTATAGGCAATTTCACTTTTGATTAACTTTTATGGAACAACATAGCGAAAATAGTTCTCCAAAGGAGAGAAAAAAAATTTAAGTAAAATGTAGAAGCGTTGGGAATCGAACTCTGGATCTCTAAAATGACAGGATGAATGATTACCACTGGACTATGATAGGCATAGTTAACGCGCAACCTTTATTATTTTCTTATAGGTCATATGCTCTGCCAATTTTTTGAGTCGTAGGATTAGAGCAGTTTGTCCACATTTGATGTTGAAAGTTTATTTAACCAGAAAAATACAGATACAAGTGGACCAATTGAGAGAGCCTGAGCTCTCTAGTGTCACCTGGGTTGCAGATAACTATTTTCATCCAGTTTCTTGAGCTTTAAGGATGACGTTAAGGTGGAATAGCTCTGTCATGGCTCATTGGGTTAAGAGTACTGCTTATTATTCATGGTGGTCTGTACTCCTATTTGTATTTGTATTTGTGTTTTTGTTATTTGTATATTTTAAGCCCTTATCAGCTTAATACGCTCGGACAGTTGTATTGATTCTTTAACAAGAGTTTTATTGTTTATAATGTTTTATTTATTAACAGCTTTTAGGAGGTATTAGAATATTGAAAATCGTATTATTATTATTAATATTAACAATGTCATTATTTTATGCTGTCAGTCCATTAATTTACATATGACGTCTCAATAAGGTTTTACAGAGACAATTTGACCATTTTATTTATCTTTATTGGGAATTCATCACATGTTCAGTAAAAATACATTATGGATACTAGAGTTGAGCACTTGGAGGCTTTATTAATACATTACACAAACAAGAGAAACAATATTTGTAATAATAAAAGTCATTAGGGTATGAACTACAGATACAAGATTATTATATAGTAATAATAATAGAACTAAGAGGGTAACACAAAAAGCCACAAGATGTCTGGGGTCAGGTTGTATTAGGGTGATTAATCTAAAGTTTATTCACTGAAATATTAATACACAGAAAAACTTATTTTTAAGAAATAACAGAGCTATTGTAGTATGTGGTTACCATTGTGATATGCATACTCAGCACCATGAACCTAACCTAACCTAACCTAGGTTATGTTAATGGATGCTTTAGTGTAAATATCCTGGTAGACACAACTCCAGCTCGGTAGACCACATATACTACAGTAACACCAGCTCTATAGACTGCATACTACAGTAGCTCCAGCTGTGTAGACTGCATATCTGGTGGTGGTGGTGACGGTGATGTAGCCTCAGTCATCTGGTCGTGGTGATGTAGTCTCCTGTCATTGTGGACCATATATTCGGAATCAGCATGCCCAGGAGTACCTATACTGAGATTTTTAACAAAATAAAAAAAATTTTCTTCACTGTCCTTAAGAGAGCCCCTGGGTACACCACTGCCCTGGCAAACCCCTCGGGGGTGCCACCACCTGTGGCAGGGCCCCTGAGGGTGCCTCCGCATCTGGGAGGGCCCCTGGGGCCATTGCTGCCCCTAAGGAGAGCCCCTGGGGCTACCATTGCCCCTGGAGGCTACACCACCCCTGGCAGAGCCCATGGGGGCACCAATGCCCCTGGGAGGGCCCCAGAGGGCACCTCTGTCCCTGGGGGTGCCACCATCCTTGGCAAGGCCCCTGGGGTCGCTGCTGTCCCTGAGAGGGCCCCTGGGGGCACCACCGCCGCTGGAGGGACCCTAAGGACGCTGCTGCCCCTGGAAGGTCCCTTGGGGGTGCCACCGCCCCTCGCAGGGTGTTAATTTTTCAACCAAAATATACTTTTCCATCAGAATTGGAATTTAAGGGGTTAACTAATCAAGTACTCGCCAAATAACGCAGAAAAAATCATTATCACACTTCTGAAACCCATAGTTGACGAGTAATTAGCATGAAATAATGTAATTAAAATCTTCCAAGCATCATTACAACCACTAATTACCCTACAAATACAGTGGTCTCTGTAACAGTTGAGCAATATCCCTGAATCACCCTCAAGCAGTCTGCGTTGACATATAGAAAGAATGACAATAAGGACATCGTGGCATTTTCAACTGTGTTAGCTGGATGACAAACGCCACTGTTCAGGATATCAACACAATGTTCTGTTGACACTCCAAAATCACTTTGGTTACTTACAATGACTTACTCTACAGTACGTATTATGCAATTCTAAAAAATTCACAAAACTAATGAGAATAATTACATCCCTATGTATATTATATTACCAAATACAGGTACTCCTCGACTTACGACCACCCGGACATACGACCGCCGCAGTAGTATAAAATAATTTTAAAATTACATTTTCGAGTCCCGACTTAAGTGATCGTGCTGTGTACTGACAAAATTTTTTTTTTAATTCCCTTTAAAATGGCTGGCAAGCGTAAAAGTGAGAGTTCTCGTGGTGCCGAGAAGAAAAAGAGACACCCATTTTAGATTTTCTACGTATTATTTTCGCCTTTTCGACTTACGACCTGGTTGTCGGTCCGGAACCCCGTCGTAAGTCGAGGAAAGACTGTACTAGAGTGAATACTTCCTTGCTTGAAACTTTATATAATACAAATTAATTCTTCGGTGAAGCTATAATTATACTTTTAGCCAAGTCAACTGAAAATGTAAAATATTTATACCCAAGTAAATTTAATTTTCAGCCGAAAACACCTTAACTGTAATTACTTTGAAGTGGCTATTACTGTATTACAATGTAGTCAGTTCACATTTCTCAATTACCAAGCTTTAGTACGTTATGATAGATTAGGCGAGATATTTTTCTCTTATTTGTTTTACTTCTTATACTTGATGTTAGGGTAGGTTGGAAAAGTCCTGGAGATTGATATACGAGTCCTTAGGTTTGGTTCCGTAGCTTTTTATTTTTCTGACATTTTTGGGATGTTTTTTAGAAAAGGAAGTTTTCTCTATTGATATTTTTCTCTAATGTTACACATTAACCCATGGACCTATTCAAAAGTACAGGTATTACCAAAAAACTACAGTTACTTAACTGGCAATAGGTCAGGTTAGGTTAGCTTGCTTATTGTCCCATGGAACATACTGTATTAGTCAATTAAAGGGCAAATATGGAGGTGACAAAAAACATCAAAGGGTGCTGACTTCATTCGATGCTTCAAAAAACGTGAAATAATTACAAAAATATTTTTCCAGCTTACTTGAAAATAAGGACAATTTATTCAAATACTGTAACTGTAGTTCATTACTTATCAAACAAGGATAGATAACCTATTCAAAGAAAAGAATGGAAGAAATGATTACAAAAAAATTGAGATGGATTCAGTGGATGCCTTTTAGGAAATTTGTATAAAAATTTTTCCTCATCTTAAAAGTTTTTCTACAGGGGATACCTGTATAAAAAGACAGCAAGTGTAACAAATTATGAAATAGGCTGAAAGATTTATTGAAATAATTATGGGGAAAATAATACTGTGTTGGGAATTAATTGATTTTAAATTATAAAAAAAATATTACCGATAATTAAAATCTGGACTGGCAAAATACTGCTTCCCATGTGTAAGAAATAATGAAAATTATTAAATCTTTTGAAATTACATTTATTCAGAAATGTTAATACAGCAAATGAGTTCATTTGGTGCAAAATTACCCAAAGTTAATTTTAACAAATTTCAGAGGGTAGGAGTCTCATCCACCTTTACACACTGTCAAAGGATAGGTTGTAGAGCAATCCACCCTTCACCCTCCCGGTTAAGGAGTGCTGCAATTTGGAGCCTGGCAAAGCTTTAAAAGTCTTTTTATAGGCTTTTAGATAAAACTAAATTGTCTGAATTTATTAAAAGTCAAATTTAAATTGATAATAAGCATCATCAAACACGTGCACACGAACATAACCATCTTCACCACCGCTAGCATAACCTCTGCCATTAGGATGGAATGATATAGAATTAATGGGGCCAAAATGACCTTTTACACGAGCAAACTCATCTTCAAACACAAGGTGGAAAAAGCGAGCATCAAATTTTCCAATTCGAGAGGATGTTGTTGTGACATCCATTGCTTCCTGACCACCACCCAAAACAACATGAGGATAAGTATCCACCAATGGAGAAACTGCAGCTGAATTGACAGGTCGGTCTGTTTTGTACACCTTAAGAGGTTCAAGGGTAGCCAAGTCCCAGAGGCGTGCAGTAGAGTCCTTACTGGCAGTGATTAGCATCATACCATCATGGCTCAACTGCATATCCTTTATCTGTTTGGTGTGCTCTTGTCCAACCTCCATCTGAAAAATTAGACATAAAACTGTCAAACTATTGTACTATTCATCTAAATTAAAAATAGTTAACTAGTTAAAAACTAAAGGTGCAGTAAATCTCATCAAAGGAAAGTTCTAGAGAATATGCAGAGGAAACATTGTGTATGATGTGGCACAGTGAATGAAAGTGCTGGTCTCCCCACTGAACCTTAAAAGTGGAGATATGAAGATATAAAATTCTTTGTTAATCTAAATTCCAAAGACACTAATTATGGGTACCACTGTTTCTTATCTATTCTCCTAACTGCTAACTTTTAAGCTATATAATCTTCATCCAAGCATATAAAAAAGAAGAGGACAATTAGTATTAATTCTCCTTCAGTAAAGGCAGTATCACAAAATCATTTTTCTGGCAACTCACAAGCAGCATAGCTCTTCATTTTGGCATAATGAAAGAAACTCTCACACAAGACAAAGCCACGATGTTCCTAATTTTGGCACAATCACAGTTTAAAACAACCAAGATGGATGCTGGAGACCCAGTGATGATTGCTTTTTTGAGACGTTTGTGAACAAGACCATGACTTCACTAGTTCTACCAGGGAATTTTATGAGTCCCTGATCCATGTAAAATTGGTAGGAAAGCTCATACTGCAGGTGTAGGCATTTGAAGAGTGTGTTGAGTCAAGTAGCCACAGGACGTAAACAAGAACATTGTGATGTCAAGTCACTTATTATAGTACTATACAGTACTGCATTGTAAAATTTGGTTTGCATAAATAAAAGAATTTATATATTTTCCTCACCAGAAATTTCTCCAACCTGGAAAATTTCTGCAACAATTGTTCCAACTAACGGAGATATTACTTGTATATAGGTACAGCACATATAAATGTTAAATATATTTTTTTCAAAATAAAGATAACACCAAATGATCTGGTTGGAATTCCGATTCTGGTGAAAAATACTGGCAACTATACTGTACTTAACCTGCTGCCAACATTGAGTTGACAGAAAAAATGTTTGTGCAATACTGTACAGTACTGTACTGCCTTAACACACACTTTACCATTCATACACCAACTTTATACTTTTCATAGTTACAAAACCCCTTCTATATAATGAATACTAACAAAATAAACACAACTATGTTTCACAAAAATACATCCAAGGAGGTCTAACCTTCTTGCCAGTGCGCATGTCCCACTTGATGATGCACCCATCCTCATGTCCAGTCACGACATATTCATCCAGAGGGCCCCAAAGAACTGACAATGCCTTTGCATTGGAAGGAGTCACTTGTGTCTTCATAATTGGGGTGGCTATGTTAAAATACAAGGAAAAAACATATATTATTTAACATGAAATAAAATTTTAACATAATTGCATCTATCAATCCAACATGCCCAAAACTGAATAGATTATAGAACGAGAGACAAAATAAGGGCACTTAAAAAATACATACAAAAATGTAAAATCCAAAGGCACACACTAAAGACAGGTGAGCACGAAGGCTAAGGAAAATTTTGGCTCTTATAATATATATTGGATAAAATTAACACTTTTTGTCTATCCCATCCATATATGTATTTATTTTCATGTGAATGTTTGCTTCTCCAACAATCTGAAGATAATATATGGGAGCAAAAGCTAACCAACTAGTATTTTTTCACATCACTTTCAAATTCACATGACTATACTGCAACTGGACAAAACAAGTAGGGGCGTAACTTACCATCAACATTATTTGGCTCCCGAACATCAACAATACTGAGCTCCGAGTTGTGTCCCATCATTTTGTCCGTGGTATATGCAATCATGGTGCCAGAGTAAGAGAAATTTACACCACGAACTGAAGTCTTCATCTCTAAGTTTGCCAGGCTGGATCCTGTTTCAACATCCCAGATCCTAGAGCAAAAGTAAGTCAAAGCAGAGTTAATTTTTGGGATAAACATATTTTAACAACTTTTACTACTACTGTAACTTCTTAACTGTGTGCACTTTAAGGTACTGTACATAAGTTTAGTTTTTATCTAATACAGAATGGAGCTTGCACAATACAACATTCAAGCAATAGAAATATTTCAAATTACACATCAAAAGAACACTATGGTAATTCAGAATAATCTTGGGTATTTTCTTAGGACGTTCATCACATTCTATACTTAACCATGTGATGTCAACCTTTCTCAAAGATTTTCAGAATATTTTCCCAAGGACAATTTTGAGGAATGGTGACTTCAACATATAAATTATTATAGTAAAAGAAAGGAGCGTTCCAGGAAGAGTTGTGTGGAATTACAGTGTGTGTAGTTGTCCACAAAGTAGCAGTGTGAGTGCCACATAAAAGTGAGCCATCATCATCAAAGAGGACAGTTCCTTTATTTCCCCAATACTCAGCCCTTCCATGAGCAGCCAAATATAGGCAATGTAACAAAAAAATTTATACTGTAATACCTTGTTTCCCTTGAAAGATAATTTTTTTTAATTTCATCTTTCTTTTTAATCCCTATACAGTACTGTATGTGCCAGTGATAATTTTGCAGGTCATTATTTTTTGTAAAGTTTGCTTGATGATGTGCAAGAAGCCACAGCTTCCTTATACTGTATCTCCAGCTTATTCATATCTGCTTGGTCTTCTACCTCAACATCTAGAAAACACCCAGTAGCACTGACAATGTTATTTATGGTTTATAATACTGTACATACTTACCTCATAGTCTGATCAGCTGAGCCTGTGATAAATAGAGAACTGTCCCATTTGATGTCAATGGACCAAACTGCTCCAGAATGGCCATCATAAGTACCCAAGCGTTCTCCATTGATGGAATACCATACATTTGGCTTGGGGTCTTTTGATGCAGAGAACAACAAGTCGCCCTCACGGTTAAATAAGATTTTCGTTATAGAACGCTCATGCCCTTGAAGCATTAAAGGCTTCTGTAAAAAAAAAATATAAAATTAACAGAATAGTTGATGCAACATTAATTATTATTACTTGTTTACCTTCTTATTCAACTCTACTGACATGAATGCAGTATTGTATGCTACTAAAAACTTAAAATTTTAAATAAAATTTCAATAAAGCAATTGGAATTTGTTAGAAAATGTTAGCAGAATTAGCTAAACTCTAGTAAACTTCCATATCAAGATAGATTAAAGAAACTAAACTTGCATTCCCTAGAAAGACGAAGAGTGCGGGGAGATATGATAGAAGTATTTAAGTGGGTGAAAGGAATCAATAAAGGAGATATAGATAAAGTTCTTATAATATCCGAGCAGGATAGGACTCTTAGCAACGGATTTAAGTTGGATAAGTTTAGGTTTAGGAGGGAGATAGGAAGGAACTGGTTCACAAATAGGGTGGTGGACGAGTGGAACAAGCTTAGCAACTTTGTATTAAGTGCTGGAATGCTGGAAAGTTTTAAAAGGAGGCTAGATAGATTCATGGATGATAGAGAGTGATAGTAACTCTCGACAGGAGCTGCCATGAACAGGCCAACCAGCCTATTGCAGACTCCTTATTTTCTTATGGTCTTATGAACTTACAGTACATGATGTTTTCCGCAAACGTTCACAAAAATTTAGTGAAAGAATTATCTGGAGTCAAATAATAACAATATACTGGATACAGGTGTGGCAGCTGTTAATGGTTAGGTTAAAGGGTAGGGTGGATTAGTGTGAAAGAAGGCCATCTTAGTAACTGTCATTGTATAGTCTGCCCACCACACATGTACATTAGGCTGCTGTATCAATAAACATCAACGTCTTACATATGGCTGCTGTACCTGTACTCTATGTCTGAGGATAAATGCTGCTGTTATTTGTCCGGTTGTCGGTTAGGAAAGTTTTTTAGACTAACAATAGACGGAGTTGACAGAATTGGACGAAACTTTATGGAAACATGAATTCCAATCTATTAAATAGATAAATGAAAAAAAATCCATTCAATTTTGTTATTTGTTTCATAGTAGATATTTTGTCATGACCAGAAGTTCCTACTAACGTTATTTTACCCTGAGTGCGCTCTGATTGGCTAAGTATTTTCTGATTAATATGACGGAGCCCCCTCCCCCTTGGGCTAGGAAATTAGGTAGGTTTCTTTGGTTGGTTAGGTTAGGTTCAAGTAAATCTCCTCTTTTATAATAAGTTAAATTGCACAACAGAAATATTATTTGGTATTTTTATAAGTATACAACGATCGACTATGGCATAAGTAAATGCCAAATGCCACCAGTCACGGTCAAATAGCTTTCACGTTCGCCGGTAATAGACGATTAGCATATAAGATCGCACTCACGGTAAAATAGCATTAGAAGGAAATTAGCCGGTCACAGCAAAACATCCACTCTCCTGTGTGTTAAAGGGTTTATCTTGTACGTTAAGTAGGGTCAGGTAGGTTAGGTTAGGTCAAATTCTGTGCAGTCGTTTCCATTTATATATTTAATCGATTGCAAATAAAGTTTCCACAAAGTTCATCCAATTCTATCAATTCTTTCTGGTGTTAGTCTAAACAAAACTACCTCACTAACAAATATTCACAGCCGAAGATAACTAAGGCTGTCAAGACTCAACATGTGGTGTACCAATCCCAAACTCATGAGTATTGTTCAAACTAAATAAAACCTGTTAAACATCTTTCACACGAGTACAGCAATGAAAATACCCCTCCAAATGACGTAGATGTAAACACTGACCATTGTGGGAGGGTGAAGGAGGGACAACACAAGAGGTCCTGCTGGTGCTGCCGTCTGGGGTAGTCCTTCCTCTCACACACTGGCTACTGTTAACAAGATACCACGACCTGGATTGTCTTTGCTTTTTCATTTTTTTATCCATTTTAATTAGAAAATACAAAAGAATTAAAAACATTTTGGATAATTTATGCGAATTATATCTCATTTTGGGTTATCTATGCTAACTGAAATAAAATAAATGGTGTCGTGGTTTTGTTCGCTGTATAATTTTTACATTAATATTTTACCATTAGTTATTACCTCATGTTTTATAATTCTCCATATAGAATTAAGATAACTTAGAGAAGATCTTTCACTATTAATATGAATCTTCTTTGTAGGTAGATGTTAATAACCACGTATTAATCCGATTTTGTACGCTGAAGTGAGGAGGATAAAAGCATTACATTACTTCTTTTGTCGTCATCTGATTCTAACAAGTTCAATCTCTATATTTAACAAATATGTATATATAAAAGAAAATTATTGAACACAACTATTCTATTTTCACAAACAAAATAATTGGCATGCTTTTTGAAATACCCTCTTATCCCTTCAACAACAACACACACAAGACAACGTGTCAGCCTTCAATTTACCCAACTATAGTTTGTAAGTATGAATTAATGCTCATATATTGTACAGTGTGTAAGGTAAGGGTGATCTTTTAATGCTTTACACATGTTGCTCTAATATATTAACTTGCTGGGTGTGTGAATGGGTTATTACTCTATGATGGCAGCGAGTGGTATAGACAGCCAGTATGCCTATGGTGGCCTCTTTATCATTACCGTACTGTATACTGGTTAATTAAGACGGTAAATATTCGTTCATTAGCTGTTCTGAGGTTGTGTTATGAGATTAGTATTTTTTGGGCGTTTTCTGGTGTTTTACTCAAATCAGACCTTCATGTATGGTGCAAATTAGCGGTTTATGCAAAAAAATAACGGTAATTCTATAGGACTAACCAGTGATCAAAATTGATTGAAAAAGTTATGAAAACACCGGATTTTCACTTACTGTATATTATAGTGGGCACTGTTGTAGTTTGGAAATATGTTAAAAATTTGAGATTTTAAAAATAAACGTTGCTTAACATTTGTGGGTAAGAAAAACAGACCTAACCAACCTAACTTAACAAACCTACTGTATACTCCCCGGTATATTAAACAGAAAGAACTTAATGTGATATGGTGAAATTTGAGGCATTTTCTGGATGCGTTATGATACGGCCGCATCGGTGCTGTGCACCCCGGGCGGCGGAGTGATTTACTGTGTTGGCGATTTCTACAATAAATGATTATCGTATCAGAACTCACTGATGAAAATATTGTAAGAAAATAAACAGTAATAAAAATAACTCGCTCACGGGCTAGTCCTATATTTTAACCAAAAAACCCAAACGAAAACTCGTTCTCATACCAAAAGAGCCAACCTACCTAACTTACAAGGAGGAGGAGGAAGAAAGGAAGAGACAACTGACTTCGGAGTATAACCTCAGGTACACGTGGCAGGAACCTGCGGGCAGCCAGTGGACGAATATTAAACATTAAGACTACCTGTTCTCATTTTTGTGTAAATATTGTTGAAAAATAAGAAATCAGGGACCAAAAAATTTGGTTCCAAAACAGCAAATTGACAGCTGCTTAGGTCCATCTATGATTCCAAATTTGAACACAAAAGTAAACTGGCTGTGATTTCTGCACTTGTCAGCATTCCAGCAAAATACTATACAGGTAATAAAAGAAATATCACTTAACTTAGTCAGAAACTTAGAGGAATGTATCCTAGGGCCAAAATATTAACCTTTACCATGGAGTGTCCACACCCATTGTACTAGTTAGTAAAGGCAATCTTTTCATAGTTTTCATTGCTTGTAAATGGCTTTCATATTCCCACACTGAAATAAATGGAATCTATAATTAGAAAAATGTCTCCGTGGAACATTCAGGACTGTAATTTCTAACAACAATTTGTGGCTGTAAGTTATATCCTAAAATGCAGTTTCCAACTTCAAATTTCCTTTTTCAAATGTTGTTGGAGTTTATGAATAACCCTGTTCTTTGTTTGAACAGGTATACGCTGCAATTCAGGAAAAATGGCCAAGAGTCTAAGGAGTAAATGGAGACGGAAGCGCTTGAGGGAAAAGCGTGTGCGATATGGCAAGAAAGAGCTCTTGTCACTCATGTCAGTGGTGGAGAAGGCAAGGGCTGAAGTGGAAATTAAGGATGCTGTTGAAGGTGAGATACTGTACTACATTTTTAACCCTCCCATCCTCAAAATAACTTCAACCTCATAAACAAGGTTCTTTGAGCTGTTTTGTTTTTTCTTCTTAGATTAGAAATATACTGTTCTCTTGTCATCACTGATGTCTAAAATGTTGTCTGTGCTGCTTGTGGTGAGAGTTGACACATGAAAGAGATAATGCAATGGATATTCAATAAGAAGTCATTGCTATGTGTATAATTGATTCTTGTATGGCACTGCTTTTTTTTTCTTTTCTTTTTTAAATGCTCATGCTGTCATATTTGTGTTTTTAATGGAGAGTAAATTAGTTACCCCGTAAGTGCTTAGCACATTCATCTCCAACTTTTTTCTTTCTCTTTTCTTTTCAGTAACTTAATGACAGAGGTGTGAATTTTAAATGTTTCCAGGGTATGAAATACTGTTGTGCTTTTAGGAAATCAGGGTTGGCATTGTTTATATTTAATTAAAACAAACTAATTAAAACTTACACACATTAGCGTATGCCATTGACTGAGGGTCTTATGCACTAATAGGAAAGATTATCTTAATGAAATATATTATCTATTTCAGTTGTAAAAGCTTTAGCAAAGAAAAATGATGAAACTACAGATGGAAATATGCAAGTAACCTCATCAACAGGAGAAGAGTTGCAACCCAAAGAACCAGACACCTTAACCCTTAAAGCTTTGATTAAAAAGTCAGGCACTGCACCTAAGTGGGTTCATCCTCGTAAAGTCAAGAAAATTAAGAGACAGCAGAAATCGTCCAAAACAAAGAAAATAGAAGTTAAAAATACATAAGTAGCCACTGTTTACTGTTTACTTATGTTGTTAAACTTGAAACTTTAGATTTTAGGAACTTGAAAATACAGTAAGTTATGACAAAAGTTCCTTCTTATTACAGCGCTGCCATTGAACACTTCTTTTTTTCCTTGGTATAGTACTGTATGCTGTTGAACATGACACAACAGTAAGTTTTGGAAAAGTTTTGAAAATAAATATATTATACAGAAAATTTTTTGAAGGGAATAAATTTACTTAAATACGTACAGTTGTGGAAGTTTTCGTACCCTGAATGTAAATTACTTTGTTTAATGCAACCTATGTCAACAAAAGGATAGAAGAGTACCAAAGTAGAGTAAATGAAAATACTACATTATACAGTTATGTGGTACAGTATAAGACAATAGAATAACTAAAATGTGAAAGCATGACAATGATGAGTGTATTATTCATATCTACACTTAAACTTCTCTACTGTAGTTTAAAGATACAGTAATGGATTTTGTAACCAGACTGTCATTTTTGCTTTTAGTTCAGAAGCTTTATACTACTTGTACTGTACTGACAAGTGTGGCCACATTAACGCCCCAACATATGACTGGCACGATTATAATGTCTTGCATAAAACTTTAATATGTTAACATCATTTATTTGTTACCAGTGTGTACTGCACATTGCTTCTGTAATCATTTCCTGCCTTCCTTATGCATCCCAGTGGGTTTGTATTTACTGATTCAATTACATTATTTTTATATTTTCTAGTCTTAATACTGTATAAACTAATGTCTTCAACAAATATTTTGAACATTTATGACAGTTTTAACATAGACAAGTGATAACTTGTGCTTGAAACATTTGATTAAGACCTTCCATATGGTACTTAGTGAGAATGAATGATAGCAAACCTGAAAAAGTGTATACAGCTCCTCCCCGACTTACGACCTATTCGACTTACGTCCACCCGCACTTACGACCTGCCTCAGTCGTACCAAAATTTGGTCAAATTACGTATTTTCGAGTCCCAAAGTCGGTACACAGACAAAATTTTCATCTGCAATTCACTTTAAAATGACTGGCAAGCTTAAAAGTGAGTGTTTTGTGGTGCGGAGAAGAAAAAGAGACCCCAATTTTAGATTTTCTATATTATTTAAGCATTTCCGACTTACGACCATTTCGACTTACGACTTGGATGTCGGTCCCTAACCCCGTCGTAAGTCGGGGAGCAGCTGTACTGTACATTAATTAGTTTTGAGTACTAGATAGGAACTGTGTGTGAGTGATGACACATGGGGTTATATAAGTATAGTTGTTGTACTGTTTCTCCATTATAGGTGGAACTAACATATATTTCTAATTCATTAAACATAGGCTTATGGGCTCGGGATAACTCACGTGCTGTACTGTACTGCTCCAAGATCACCCAAGGTTTTTTATTTCACTCATGCACTCCATTGTTAAAAGATGGGTGGAGGTAGACTTTTTTTGCTGCAGTACCGGTAAACAAAAGATTTTCCGAAGTAAACTACCAATATTGTACAAGTCTCTCTACAGTGTAATTTGCAGAGAAGGTGAAGGGTTGAGGGTTGGTGTGGGACACAACTCCCTCACAAATTCTTTAGAAATGAAACGCATATAAAGTTGAAGTTTAGTGTCTGTACATTATAGTGATGGTAATTTCAAATATATTTTTTGTGCTCTGTCATTGGAGCAACATTTTAAAAGTTTACAGTATGATAAAATATGACTACAGTACTGGTAATAATCAAGATTTATAGATTATGCATTTATGGAGCTGTTTTCCTTTTTTCATAAATCGTCCAACACTTTTGATTTTGATTAATTTTTCTGATAAGGTTTTCGGTCACAACTCTTTCATCCCACAAATTGAAAAAAAAAAAATAAAATATTCAAGGCTATTACAGTACAGTACTATACAATATATACTGTATGGTTTTTTTTTTCTTGAAATGAAATTTATCACACCTAATTTGTCAGATGGCCACAACAACTAGGGGTGAACATGATGGTGGAGAGAGGCTGATGGCCAGTGTAGGATTAACTCAATGTTATTTATACTGTATTCTTGTCCAGGGCAATTTTGAAGCCCAGTGCTGCTCTTACTTCCACAGCTTCAACTGGTAGACTCAGGGCCGGCACTTCCCGTGGTTACATAGGGTCACTGCCATATGATAATTCAAAGTCATTGTCATACTTGGCCCTAAAACGTAGTTGTGGTTGTCAGGAAATCATAAGCTCATGGTTGGAGTTGCGGTTGTTTGGTTTAAAGTTGAAATATCACTGCAACCTGCTTGAACTTATTGAGAATAAGATAAATATTGGCAAATCAAAGATGAGCGTGTTTTAGTCACTGTCAGACTGCAAGTTCAATCATTATTCGACATGTCGAGTGTGTTTCCAGGGCGCGGGACGATTACCCAATGCATTACGCACTCCACCAACCACTTCCCATCTTTAAGTGGTTATATTTACTGTTAGACAAAAACAACTAATCAAGAACATTAGGAAAGGTCATCGTTACTACAAAGCAAATTATGACACGGAGAGGGTGTCAAAACCGATCATATAATGAGAACACTAAAAAAAATAGGTAAGACTATCATTGATACAAGCATCTTGGCAAGTTGGCAGTGGCATAAGGAAGTGCAGTGTAAGCAAGGACTAAAACCACTACTACAAGTATTATGGTATTTTATCCTTGAGTGTGTGTGCTTTGTTGTATTTGCACATACCAGTGCACCATAATATTATCCACCCTCATCATAACCAAAAGAATAAGAAAGAAGACCATCAGAGTACTGGTAGTAAAGAGCAAGAACGAAGACCGAGAAAGAAAAACATTAAAGAAGAATGCACCTCCTGCCGAATTAGCCGAAAAAAGTAGCCAGAATTCTTTAAAAAAATATATTTTGGGATCATATAACAGTACAGTATATAAGTGTGGTGCAACAAACAATGATGAAATAAATGATAAAAGTTTTGTACAACTAACAAATGACGTCAAAAAGCAAATTACAAGAAGACCTGCACACGGACCACACCCGGAAACTTACCACTCAGATTACTGTGCAAGCTCCCAGACTTGAATTACAGTTTCTGCACCGGACTGCTCAGCATTAACACTCGCCTCCTATAGTTCCTAAGTCCATCTCCAATGAAAGTAGAGTTACTTATTCCATATAGTGATCTAAAATCTAAAGAATGTCACTCAGTATAGGTCGTAAGAATCACAATAGCGACAATTTGGTCTCGCAAATTTTAAATAAGAAAATTTCAGCTTTGGCATAACTTAGATTAAAGACGTTTAAAGTCTAAACTTATGTATGTCTCCTATCTGGAATATGTTCATTGTACTCAGCATCGTTAATAATGACTTACACAATCTTATTTTGCCAACTGGAACAGGTTTTAATCATGATCCGTGGATAAGATTACCTCAGAACTCCAGGGTAGGGTAATCCGGTGTTGGGAGGTGGCATATTTCACTAGTACTGTATCAGTTTGATGTAAATTAGCAATTAAATACAGTACAATTGTATAACACATGGGCCTTTTATTGCTTTTCCACTGAAATACGAACTGGATGAAACAGCCCATTCGTCAAATTGTACCTGAAAAACTGGTCGAATTTTTCTCAAATTTCTTGATGAAGGTCATTACGTGTGAGGGAATGTATCGTGCTTTACCTGACTTACACGTAGTAGCCACCACACCTAGTAGCACCTCAGCCGAGGAAGAAGCATGTGGTTTCTTCAGACACTCGTCCTCGTGTATTGTAAAGGTTAGCCCAGTTCTTACTTCACCACAAGGTAGTAGTACAGAGGAGATTTGTAAAACTGGGATGATAATTATCTTGTATTCAGATATATGTTTTGTGATTCCAAGAACTGGGTGAACCACAGGTCCCGATATCGTTTTCCATTTAGGCAACAGCATAAGTGTGCTGTAGATTGTTATACTCTATATATAGAGTTTTGCATTGTTCTACTGTAATTATATACATTAAGCCCTACTAATAACTCGCACTTGCACGACATTTTGTATGCATAAGGCGCTTCCCTTGCCACTATTCCGAAAATATGTGTATCGTTTGCACATCTGAAAAATGGGCTCAAAATAATTTCAGAAATATGAACGCTGCAGTGACGCTATCCTTGCTACACAGAAAACCAAAAGGTGTAATTACTCATTACAATAAATTAGTAAAGTGTCTGCTTCGTGTTAGATAGAACACCAGCATTAACCTGTTTGTGCCTTACTGATTTAGGAATTCCCCCAGTACAGATGTTAAAGTGAGGAGGCAGAGATTTGAATGGAAGCTTCGTTCGTCAGATTTAGAAGAAACATTCCATGTTATTTATGAACTCTGTAGAAGAGAAAACACACCAGGTTATAAGATGTTGAGGAAATCCCTAGTTGATTATATGTTGACGCCCTACAGAAAGTAGTGAATGTTGAACGTTTTGGGGATGTCTAAGTGATAACGCGCGAGCCTGTCAATAGTGTCCAGGGTTCGATCCCGAGTCAGATCTCAGACGTGATAATGGCGTTATCGTACCAAACATCGAAAGTTTATAGGTTTATATGGATATTCCAGATTCGTTCTGGGCTAACAGTAAAATTAAAAAAATGAAGGTTGTAATAAATTAATAAAGAATACACCAACCGCCAGAAGGATTAATAAGATGACAATTGGTAGAAATGATATATGAGCAAATTAATAAAAAAAAACTTCGTACGCGTAACCAGCCATCGTTCCTCGGAATGTGAGATTAATTTTTCCATGAAATTATGCTGCGTTGTTCAATATTCTCTAGATTCTAGGAGTATTGTACTAGTATCTTATGTGAGGGCAGAGTATTACAGCACAGTACAGTACAGTATACATTTGACTGCCGTGCTCTAACGGCTCTTCGTCTCCTCCTGAAGGTTGCTTAATCCTGTTATTTTCTAAATAATAATAATAATCTTAATTGTGTACATACCCAATTTTCTAATATTTTTAGCGTTCTAAAATGTACTACGTCAACTCCCAGGAATATAAATTCTAGTAAATTGATGATCTTCCTATTTAGTATTTCGCCCGTAATTGGTAATCTCCTTAATTCACTTAACCATTCCTGCATTGCATATACGTTTTCAAGAGGTGTTCGTCTAATTTCTCTTGTGTGAAAACCGATGTCAAGTATTCGTTGACGAGATCAGTGGCTTCAAGCCCTTGTATTTTCACTTTTTTTTTTTCTCGGGGTTTTCTAGGTAACTGAAGACAATATTTCTCCTCTCGGGGTTGGGTGAGCAATAGAGCTGCCACGTGCCTACTGACCCCGTTGTAATGGCAAGGAAGTGCAACGAATAAGTCTTGCTGCAACTGTCTGCCTGGCGTACGAGTATACTATTAAGAACCTTTTAGCCTGTGATACTTGTATAATGAAATTCAAGAATATAACTAACGACAAGGAGATAATATAGATGATGAACACCCCAAAACGTCGCCTATCTCAAGACGAGTAATGATCAACTGGTACAATTATTTTAAACAATTGTTATTGAAGGCATGTGTTAATTAATTTATCAAAATATACCATTAATTTGTGTCATGTTTGGGAAACACACAATAATTAAAATAACATCCAGAGAATATGTAAATAATACTTGTAAGGAAATATAATTGTAGATGGCAACTGTTCCTTCCTTTATCCCGCCCTGCCCAAGTGACCAATGCCTCTGCTGTCCTCCGCCCTCCTCCCACGGCAACACACTGTCTCACACCCTGCACACGGCCACACTCTCTATGGGACGATTGAACATGAGTCTCTTTGATGCAGGCACTAGGAAATTTTAAGCTGATTTTGCATGTCTGTGAAGTGTCTTCTGTGTAGTTTGTCCTTCTGACAGCTTATGGTGATGTGTGGAACCTGTCAAACGGAGATGAAAGTGTTATGTTAGGACTTGACTGACTGCTGTGGGGCCAGTTGTGTTGGGAAAGCGTTCCACGCTGTAGTTCCCACAATAAAAGTTAGCGCACAGTACCGGCCACAAGAAGTGTAAGTTATGTACAGAAAAGTACGAAGAAAGTCCTCAGGAACAACTGTGGGAGTTCACCAATATTCTATACAGGTAAGTGTTGATATATTTGCTAGTTAAAGAAATTGCTTATTGGATGTTAAACCATAAAAATACAGAAGTGGACAATACTTCCCAGAGCCATACATCACCCATGGCGTTTCATTTATGAATGAGGAAATTAATTTGTATAGTTATGTCTGGCACACCCGTGAGCCACGATGGTCGGGCATGAGCGACTTTTTTTTCTTTTCTTTTTTGTGCTCGCATAATAAGCAAGAGCAGCAGCAGTGGGTGAGTGGGTTGGCTGAGGCTCCGGGCACCGGGGGAGGGTAGCTCACTGACCCGTTGCTTTCATCCTTGTTACTTGGCATTTTACGCTAGAAACGGGAAGTGATAATAAAGTTCACGTAAGTGACGAATGCTCATATATATATATATATATATATATATATATATATATATATATATATATATATATATATATATATATATATATATATAAATTTTTAGGAGGTAGGTACTGTCTAAATGTGATATGAGAGATATCGAACACAAGTAATGGAAGTGGGTGAGCGAAGTGGATCTACAGGACCTTGGGTCCACTTAGTAGTACTAATGTGAATCTACGAACAAAATGGATACCTACACAGAACAAAATAAAACGTAATTTTAACCTTATCCCAGATATCAATTAAGTTCAAGTTGGTACAAATAAGACTCGGTGAAGGTCCCTTTATCATGGTCCCAACAGTAGATAAAGCACGTGCAACATACAATTGGTGTTTCATGTCGCGGACCATAGGACAATTCATGTTCTTTTTTATTTCATGTGAAAGAATCATAACAAATCAACTAAGATTGGGCGCTGAAGACCATTCGAATGACCACCGGGGTCTCCGGACCTCATACCTGCCGATTTTTTTCCTTTGGGGGTCACCTAAATGTGTTCATTTAAAACAGTCTTGACCAATACTGGTGCAGGTTCAAGGGCATTCTAAGAGCCAATGTTTGCTCAGTACTTATCAACAGCACGTAACAGAAATAACCAACCGCCCAACCATGGTGTGTTTAGACCACGAACCCAACCGGATATAGAGACGACCAGTGCGAAGAGGATAAAGTTAATTTAGACCTCGGTGGCCATTCGATTGGTCCGTAATTGTCTCCTAATGTTCGATGACTTGTTATGATTCCCTCACTTAAAAAACAATAATAAAATGAATTGTCTCAGTGTGCGCTATCTACGATACCTCCTGTACATACAGTGTCTGTCTCTTCTTTCTGTTCCCAAGTCCTGGTCATCTGTATTTTCTCCCTCTCCTCCCCCGACTCCTTCCCTCCAGTATATTATCATAACTCGAATACGCTGGATAGCTTCAAACATAGGTTGGATGGATATATGAGCAATAGGGGTTGGGTGTAAATGGGACTGCCCAGTATGGACCAGTAGGCCCGCTGCAGTTTCATAAACAAAGAATAGTCTCAAGTGTCAACACATGTACTGTAAGTCCTCCCGTTCAAAGAAACAGTAAACCATTGCAAGTAACCACACATATATACTTACATGCATACATGCATATATAAATTCATAAATGCACACAGCCGGACACACACACACACACACACACACACACACACACACACACACACACACACACACACACAGTGTAGACTTCGCACGCACATACGCACGCACGCATACACGCGCACATACATACTACATACATTCACACCCGCACATGCTCACACTGTCACACACAGACATGTACACACACATGAGCGCGCACCTGCACACACACACACACACACACACACACACACACACACACACCAAAAGGTTTAAAGGTTGGGGTGAGTGCATAAGTTAGAAGGCGGCGATGTCCTCATCGGTCAGGCTACTCGATCTACTTACACAGAGAGGCCAGTGATGGTCACGGTGACCTCACTGTTAAAGGATACATCAGGTCAGTCTTAGGTTTTAGGACGTGACTAAATTCCACCAGTATGGGCAGGAAATTTCCCGATATGAAGCCTTTCTATAAGTACACTCGAATCGAAATACTTATGCAGTATAAGTAAACTGGAAAACTTGTCTTCAATATAAACAAACTCGAAATGGGACCAAGTACAATCGATATTAATCTCTATATCATAAATAAACTCAAAATAAACCTGTTTAGAAACTTTAAACTTTATATAACTTCGAAATGCAATCACCACATGACCTCTTTACTTTGATATTAAATTCTCTTACAATCATCCATAAAATGGTAATAATATGAAGTAAATCATTGTTATTTTCTGTTGTGTTTCTCTGCAGTTTTGCTCAGTAGTTGTTGGTAATAACAAATGTTATAATGATAATAATAAGTCGTCGGGTTTTGTTTGTAATACTGTGATCCGTAGTTGTTGATTTGTATTATACTTTTACAGATGGACAGGGATAACTGTTAGATAACCCTCCCCCCCCCCAGGTAGCGTTAGGGTGCTTAATCTCCATGTGGTTCTAAAATTTACTTAAAGAAGGTTTAACAAAACTGTATGTTTTTCTGTTCCTCTAAATCTCCTTCTGATTTTCTCATGCGGTTTCTTCCTCTTTCCTTCCTCCTCCTCTTCCCCTCCCCCGTTTCCTCCAGTATTTATCCCACTCTCAAGTGTCAACACATAAGTAGCCCCCACCCCTTCAAAGAAACGTCATATGATCTGCAAGTCACCACACACACACATCAAAATGCACAACGACCTTTCTTGATTTGTTTAAATAACCTTCCAGAGTATCAAAAGTTCGTACGTTAAATGTTGTCCCAAATAGTATTATATTATGCTGACATTGCACCGACGACTCTACTGAAGCTACTGTAGCTGTCTTCTTATCCCAATTTAAGGGAAAAATGTCGTACAGGTCTTCGGGAATCCTCGTCATGACCTTCACTAGACTGTGTCTACCGAGCCTTCGAGTGATGCTGTCTGAAGATGGCACCCCGAGACTGGTAATACAGTTAAGGTTGTGTATGGCACGCACTGCCCAGGCCCCGTATTATCAAAAGCCCGTAGACTTTTCCTCGTAACATTTAACCGACAAAATTTACGTACAGTACTTAATTTTTTGGAAAGATTCCGGACATTCATTTCGTATCAGGGCGAGTGCTAAGAAAATAAATATGTATTTACGACACCTAATGCTATGCATGTTAGATATTGGCTATCATAAACTTGCCTTTGTTTCCCGAATGGGGTGAGAGGGCCTCCTGTCCCCGTTCCACGTCGGCTTTCATCCATCCTCCTTTACCATCCTCTTCTCTTACATTATCCCTTTTCAGCGCGTCTATCTACTGTGTTTTGTGGCTACTTTTCTCCTTCTGTTATCTACTCCTTCCTTGGGGTATCATAATAAAGAGGTTAAATAACTGCACTATAAAGGTCAGTTGTTCAGGGTGTTTACCACACGCTCTAGCTTAAACATTTTATCCGGTACACAGAGAGGCAAGTGGCGGGCGCTACACATTGCCGCAGTATCTTTTTAGGTGGTTATTTCATCCAAAACATGGGTAGGTAGTCCTTTGTTTTATATAAACAATTGTATTCTTTACTGTGTCCATTGTGGCATATTCGTTGCACCTGCAGGACGAATTGTACAGTTGTCCTTAGTTGCTATTTACAATTCCTTCAGCAACTCTTATTAAGTCATAGCAATCATTCATAATGCGGTAAATGGTGGAGGCCCGTTTCTCCATGTTAAAGACCATCCTAATGAGAGGTCTATTTATTCTTCGTCAGGGATTTTTCTGTGATGTAATATTTACTTTCTGGACATCACCGAATTTGTGATATTATTTAATCACGCATATTCTTAGGGATCTTTTAATGTTCATAGCTACTGGAAAACAACATTAATCCACAAATTAAAACCGGCGTTCACTGACACATAAGGGTTGCTTCTGCAGTAAGCAACTGAGACCAATAACAGGAGGGCCGGAGTCTCAGTGGCTGGTAAAGTCATCCGATTCCTGGCGCCACCTGTTGTTGACATCACGACCGACCGTGACTGACCCTCATTTTTGTGTATTAAACATAGATTCGCTTGAGTAGAGGAGTTAGTTGTTCTTACGAAAATGAAAAATGTATAAAGATGTTAGAAGTTCTAAAAGCAGAACTCTGGCTAATTTCCTTAGGAAGAAGCCCCTCAGAATCGACGCTACTTAAGAGTTAAGGGCCAACGTCCGGATTTAGGAAGATTCTGTACTGCCAATTATGACTCCTAGCTGGAGCTAAGTAAACAAATGTGACTAAGGTAATGTGTCAGAGAAAGTTCAGTGCCAGTGGATGGTGTGTGTGTGTTGTAGTCAGTTCGATGCATTCTTACGTCTCCATTTACGAGGAAAATTATATGAACCCGAGTTCAAATTAACATCAGACTACCTAGGTTATCTAGATTAGCTGTACTTAATGTTCTGAATTGCTTTTGTTTTTTCACTTTTATATGCCATGTTTCATCGCTCATCAGCTCTTAGGCAAATTAGTACAGTAATAAAGAATAATAACGACACTTCGCTAAAGTAATATTAAAACAAGTAAGTAGTAACAATAAAGGTAAAACAGCAATAACACTTAACTGGATGAGTAACAAAGAGGATCTACAATTCTACAAACTATATAATATAGTTGTATAGTTACAGGGGAAACGTCGAAAAAAATTATAAATTGAAATAGAGTTTTTATTAATATCTTACCTTGCTTTTATTACTTTAGTACAACTAAATTACCTTTAAGAGATACAAGCACTAAACAGCTCAGCAATGTATGCAGTTCCAACAGTTGTTACAAATGTTTCGTTGCATCGTGCGTAATGTTACGCGAATATGCCAGGCGCCATTCGAAGCAAAGTCTAAGGTTTAATTAGACTGATTAGAAGGTTCATAAGTGCCGGTAGACGCCTATATTGTAATCACGATAAGCACTCAATTTTTTATTAATTTTTGATGAAACTTGTTAAAAATGACCCCCAGAGCATAAACTAGGATGGGAATGCATTTCAGGCGTCAGTGTCCAAA